GTGCGTGAAGTGTGTTTCTGTCACCGATGGTCACACTATCGTGATCAGCATTATTATAGACCATCTGAATAATTGTATGACCCATTCAAACTGTAATGCTGCGGATCATATAGACAACTGAAGATTCGAATCTTAAATACTTTGTATTTGGTGCGCATAAGTATACGTGTACTAATGAGTTGATAAGATACGTTGAAGAATGTTTATAGTGCAAGTACGATGAAATATCTAAGAGTAAGGGCGAGATAAAAGAGTTTGGACGTACCATAAATATAATGCAGTGTACGACAGTTAAAATGCGCCGATTCCACTTGCTCATATCATCTTTCTAACTCTTTTTGTTTGTCTTTGTAATGATTTCTAATAGTAAATGTAGAAGAGGTGATACGCTTTCGTCGATGTTGTCTAAGAAATTTGAGGGAGCCGGATAACAGTTAGTATAATACTTTTGCTTTCGTATATCGCGTGAAGTAATATTTACTGTGGCTGTTATTATTTCTTTCTCTCTGTCCTCTTGTGACATTCATTTTGATGTCCAATCGTTTATGATTAGTTTATCGAGGAAATTGAGAAAACAAATAATATAATCATTTTTTATACAGCTATATCGTCCCCGACATATTTTTTCAAGACTGTTTTTATATACTGATCATTAGTATTTTCACCCTTGTAACTTGAAGTTTCTTTGTACTTTTCAATTATTAAATTAAGTGAAAACTGACTCTTTTTATTCAGCTCGAATGTATAATTAACAACAAACTGTAACACCCCGGAGACCAAAGGACCAAGTGCTCTACCCTGAACACTGTTTGGACGTTCTTCATTAATCGCCTTAAAACAACGATCATGGTAATGGGCATTAATTTTGCTTATATCTTTCCCCAGCTGAAAATTTGTCATAAGGTCTTACATAAGTTCTTGCGTAATTTCTTATGTAAGTTCTTTTGTAAGTTTTCATATAAGTTCTTTTAACAGAACTTGTGTCAGAACATGTACACGAACTTGCATTTGCTTATCAACCAAGAACTTAGATAAAATGTTATGTAATTTCTTATGCAAGTTCTTATAAAAGATCGTGTATCAGTCGTTTAAACTTATTTAATTACTATCTAGATACATACATGGTAAATTTAAAAATTTTTTCTTCATAAAAGCTGTTAAAATAGCTAAAATAAATTAGTAAACACAAAAAAAAGTATCTCTTAACTCGACTGAGGGGATTTGAACCTGGTCCAGGGAATCTCTACGCAAAAGTGTCTTACCGACTTGGTCAGAGTGGATTCGATATATAGGCAAGAATTGACGCCCTCATAAGGTACACCTGATACTAACATCGATGTTATTAAGTCCTCAAGTTATTGCTTTTTAGAATCTCTGATACTAGTTAAGAAACGTTTTTCCACTTTTTATTTAGATCAAATACTTTTTTTTTAAACATTATTTTATGTGTAAACTTATATTTAAAGAAGTAATATAATTTTTTAAGTAATGTATAAATAAGAGTGAAATTATTTTTACTGCTGGTTTTCGATACTAACATTAAAGTATTGAAGAGAAAAAGTTAATCCTCAATTTTGTTGTAGCAATTACAACAAATTTATTACACTTTTAAAAATAGATTACTTTTCCCTCAGAATAAAAAGTATAAGTAAAGTTCAAATAAAATCCCTGAACGAAAAGTAGTTGTAAAATTAATTACTAGATTTATTGTCGAGAATCACATTATCAAACTTAAACCAATGTTATATGTACATGTATATAATGTTTATTAACCAATGAGGTAACCAAGGTGGTAAATGTTATCCAAAAAATGAAAAAATAAACATTAGTTCTAGAAGTACCTTATGAGGACGTCAATTCTTTCCCTCAAATCGTATCCACTCTGGAATTTATATTAGCTATTCTAACAGTTTTTATGCAGAAAAAATTTTTAAACTCACTGTGTATGTATGTAGATAGTAATTAAATTCATTTACACGACTAATATATGAACTTTTATTAGAACTTACAAAAGAATTTACATAAGATCTTATGTAAGTTCTTGGTAGATAAGCAAGTGTAAGATCGTGTACGAGTTCTGACATAAGTTCTATTTAAAGAACTAATATGAGAACTTACATGAGAACATACTATGTAAGAAATTATGTAAGAAATTACATAAGAACTTGTGTAAGAACTTATGACAAATTTTTAGCTGGGCCACGCTGTTAATTTTAAATAGTATGGCTTTATATTTTAAAGAATATTGCAAACGACTGCAAGTTTACGAATCTCGATGAACGAATATTGGATCAACTAGTGGTTAGAGTGAAAAGCAAAATTGTAAAAGCCGAATTGTTAAGAATCGAGGATCCAACATTAGAAAAATCAGTAAAAAAAACTTTGGCGATAGAAGCAGCGAACAGTGGAGCTGAAAAATTGCAAAATTCAACAGAAAACAAAGTACGGTAAGCCATCCCACTTTGCTCGCGAGTGTCGATATAGAATAGCTACGTGTCATATACGTCAAAAGCGAGGACATTGAAATCGAATTTGCGCTGATAGAAGTAACCAGTCGAGCCAAAAGCACACTAATGCTTGGGTAGGATGCGTTAACGCATGCAACGGTGATAGCGATTGCAATAGTGTCACTAAAGATATTCAACAGATGTTCCCGGAAATGTATACGCGTAATTTGCATTGTTTAAAAACTTATTTACCAGGACATACAATAGTGGAACCCCAATTCATGCAAGTTGAAATTAACGGTATAAAAATCTCGATGGAAATTGATATGGGAGCGGTGATGTCAGTTTTACCATTGTCATATAAAGAAAAATACTTTTAAGATTTACAAACTGATGGAGCAAGTATAATGTTAATAAATCACGATGAATCAATGTATATATCAGTGGGAATGTTACGTTATATTAAAATTAAAGCAAACGACATCGACTTTATTTTTTATGTTTATGTAACCAAATCGAATGAACTTGCAATCATTGGTAGACCTTGGTTAAAAGCAGCCAATTTATGGCCCTTGATAAAAAATTTATTGTTTAAATCGATAGAACCATGTGATTTCAACCCCAAGTTAAAGTCGATACTAGATAAACACTAAATAATGTTTTCGAAAGCAAAGGGTGTGTTTACAAAAGGAATAGTTAAACTTGAACTTTAAAAAAATAGCAAGTCAAAATACGTACTAGCACGCACAGTTCCATTTGCTTTAAAAGAACGAGTCGAAAAGGAATTAGAAAGATTAGTCCAGCAAAAGATAATAGAACCGGTTGAGAATAGCGAATGGACGATGCCGATTGTACCTATAGTAAAGTTTGACGTTAGTATACGGATATGTGCAGATTTTAAGGTGACCGTTAATCCATTATTAATAACAAAAAGGCATCCAGCGCCAAGTTTTGATCATACACTTACAAAATTACATGGTAGTGAATGATATTCTAAGGTAGATTTGTGAAAAGCATACTTGCAAATGCCCGTCGAGGAAAATTCCCAGCCTTTATTAACAATCAATACTCACAAGGGTCTTTTCTGCTATAAATCCATGCCTTTGGACATCAGTTCAGCGCTGGGAATCTTCCAGGCACGTATGAAAGAAATTTTGATAAATATCCCGGGAGTGGCTGTTATTTTTGCTGATGATATTGTGATAACGAGTCGAACAACACATGATCATTTCAAAAATTTAGATGTGGTATTAACAAAACTAGAATAAAGTGGTTTGAAAGTAAGAGTAGATAAGTGTCAATTTTTTGAGGAAAGAGTTACTTATTTAGATTACCAAATTGACAAAAATAACATAAGCATTGATTCCAATAAATACCAAGCCATTATAGAAATGAAAATACCGTTGAATAAAAAAGAACTGCAATTATTGTTAGGAAAAATTTTTTAATTACGGTAGATTGTTTGAAAAGCGAGCAGAAGTATTAGCGCCCTTGTACGAATGCAACAATCAGAAAGATTTAATATGGAATACTGAATGTGCAAAAGCATTTGAATTTGTAAAAATCGAATTAAAACGAAATGTAGTTACTTATGATTCGAATTTGCCTATAATACTAACATGCAATGCGTCACCTTTAGGTTTAGCTGCATACCTAAGTCAAATTTTCCCAGACGGCGAAAAGCTGATAGCCTTTGCGTCCAGGCGTTTGACGAAGGCTTAGGAGAATTACTCACAAATAGATAGGGAGGCGGCGGTGATTATATTTGGAGTTACCCAATTCTATGACTATCTATATGCTCAGGAATTCACACTAAAGACTGAGTCTTCATAATAAACCTTTGTGTAGAATTTTCGGGCCAAAAAAAGGTATACGAATGGCTGCAAGTCGTTTACAAAATTGGGCATTCTTTCTATCAGCATTCAAGTACAAACTCGAATGTATAAAATCGACTAAAAATGTAGTCGCCAATGTTCTTTCGCGTTTACAAAGCAATAAAAATGATGGTAAGAACGATAAGAAACAAAGCGAAGAGTTTACGTACTTGTATTATGTAGTTTAATCAAATGTTAGAAATTTAGATTATAAGAAAGTAGCGCGTGAGACTGCAAAAGATCAAATTTTATCAGTAGTTAAAAAAATAGTAGAAGAAGAAGAGTGGCCTGAAAAAAATTGAAATACTGGAGTGATGAATTCAAAGCTTACGGCTGTCTTATGTGGGGCTAACGTGTTATTTTTCCGTGAAAATTAAAAACACAAGTTATACATCAATTACATGAATGTCACTTCAGGATAGTAAAAATGAAATCTTTAGCTCGATCAGTAGTATGGTGGCCTAACATAGACAATGAATTAGAAACTTTAGCAAAATCATGCAAAAGCTGTGCAAATGTAAGAGACGATCCGAAGTGAGCATCAATCACTCCATGGCCGCATCCAAAACATCCATGGTATCGTATACATACTGACTTTGCCGGTCCATACTTGGGACACACATTTTTATTCATTATCGATGCGTATTTAAAATGTCCAGAAATGTTTATAGTAAAAAATATGTCAGCTAAAGCTACAATAGAGTTATTTAAGAAAACGTTTGCGATACTTGGATTACCTATAAATATTGTAACGGATTCTGGAGCTAAATTTCTTAGTGAAGGATGTCAATCTTATTTTAAACAATTAGGTACAAAACATACTTTGACTGCCCTTAAACACTCAGCAACAAATGGTGCTGCAGAAAACATTGTAAAAACATTTAAACGCAAAGTAGAAGCTATTATGGAAAGTGACAATGTCAGTCTACAAGTTGCGTTGGACAGATTTTTATTTGGATACCAAATAATTAAGCATCTGATGATAGATGAGACACCTGCAAAATTACTGTTTAATAAGGAACTGCGAACACCTCTTCATTTCTTACAGCCTAGCGTTGAAAATTTTGTCAAATATAAACAAGATGTACAAGTAAAAAATTTCGGTGGCAAAAAGATGGATAACTTTGAAAAAGGCAACGTTGTTTTAGCTAAAGATTTTCGTACAAGATACCCATCATGGTCCGAAGCTACAATTATGCAAAAGTGTTTGTAATACTCAACCTGAATTTACGGCGAATCCAAATGTTGATAATGTGAGAAGATCTACTCGAGAAAGAAAGCAGGTTTAGTGTTATGCTTCTTAAAAGATAGATAGTGTAAATATATTATTACTTATACGATTGTATTGAACATATTCAAAGTCTAATGTAATGAAATTCATTGTATGCGAAATTTGATATAAAAGGGGAAAGGATATAGTGTATCTAATATACATGCTCTAATACTATGTAAACTGTAGTCATGTAATATATACAAGATTCAATAAAAGTTCACCAGTCCCTTCCGAATCTTGCTGAGAGAAGCACCTTTATTTGTCTACTGTCCCAAACAGCACACTTACCACCTCTGATTTCTTAACTGCACTACGTGCCCCCCCCTCCTTCAAAGCTGAAATAATAACCTTGTGTGCATCTTTGCTTTTGGTATTTATATCCTGCGATGCAGCCTTAATGACTGTACGCAAGGCAGTGCAAGGTCTCTTCTTACTTTTCATACCCATACCCAATTTACTTTTAAGTCTCATAGGACTCGCAATAGCTAGAGTAGCTGCTTGTTCCTCAATACTGGAATCTCCGGCTTTTACTCTTTGCCAAGCTTTCTCGGCTAAGGCTTCATCAGCTGAGTTTCTAGCTTCAATGTTTTCTCAATTCTGAGAATAAGCTATATCATGCTCCTTGGACGCTTCGTCTAGTGGGTTTATACCTGGATAACCTTTAGCAAGACATTTCACAATTAAGTTTAGTACCTGGACTCCACTACTAAAAGCCTGGCATGCGGAGTTCAACAGGTAAAGCGTTTATAATGTTGTTTAAAAGACCACGTCCTCTCTTATGTATGATCATCATAATTCGAAGGTTAATTGGATCATGACTGAGCTCTGGAGAAGATTATCGTATGTATAGTCTTCAAGTCTAAAAATGTGTAACCATGAGATTATATAGGCAGTGTTTTCATGGACTAGACGTCAGTCGTAGTCCAACCATTGTACAGTGCAGATATAAAATTTAAAGAGCAATCTGGAAAATTGCAAGTTCCTAACTTCGATGCTGTTGTCAAACAGGAAAAGCGCTCCAATCGACATGGTGACTTACTACCCGACAGTATTTGAGCTGTGTTCAGCGGTCCATCCAATTGTGGTAAGACAAACAGTTTATTAGTGCGAATTATGTATGCTATTAAACTTAGATTTGAAAATATTTATCTGTATTCAAAGTCACTTCACCAACCGAGATATAAGTTCTTAAAGAGCTTTTGGAGCCTATAGATGATGTGTAATACTTTTCTTCCAGTGAACATGAAGCAGTTATGTCTCCAGATGATGCTCTACAAAATTCTATCATAATTTTTGATGATTTTGCATGCGAAAAATTGGATGATGTGAAAGTTTTTTTCTGCATGGGAAGACATAAAAATATCGATTGCTTTTATCTCTGTCAGTCATATGCACAAGTACTGAAACACCCTGTAAGAGATAAAGTTAATCTTCTAGCTCTATTTCGCCAAATTCAACTTTATTTAAAACATGTTTACAATGATTAGGTCAATTCTGATATGTTCCTATAGTCCGTTTAATGATCTATGCTTAAACTGTTGGAGTGATAATAAGTATGGTTTCGTTGTCATCGCTAAGGACAGTTGAATAAACAACGGCTAATACCATAAAGATTTGGATAGTTTTGCTACAAATATAGGACGTACATAGTGCGATCTAATCAGTCTACTCTGAGACGTCAAAGTGTCAACATGTACAAGAGAGAACTTAGAGAAGACTTAGTGAGACCTTTTAACCAATCACCGATCCCTTACAACAAATTGTGATGCAAGCAAAAAAGGGGAATAAAATGGGTCACTCCATGATTAAGGAGGTTCGGTCGTTTTTGAGGAGATTTATTCACTTGCTGAAAATAATAAATGTTGTACTTTAACATGCTGGAAGTACATATAAATTTTTTAAATATTTTTTATCAGCTGAACTTCCAAGAAAAAAATTCCCGAAATTGCATGATTTAACATTGCTCTTATGGGCGAGAGCGATTATTCAGCCTTTATTGCACAAATTTCGAGGCTAGAGATTCATGATGAGAAAAAAGTTCAAGTAGATAGCTTAACATCTAAGGACAACACTCGTATCAAAAAATGTGCACCTTATCAGGCATTTGGAAGAAATATCTGTGCAAACGTAAACAAAGTCGCGAGAAGGTCTTATGCTAAGTGTATGGGAGAGAACCGAGCATCGTCTGCTGTTAGCTAATTTTTTCACACAAAACCATTCATCTGAAACATGGCCCAGCCTTTCGCAGTTTTTCGAAAAGTCATAATACACTTTTGTTGACAAAAGTTGAGTCCACTCTTAGTTCTTTTATGTTATTTTTTATCATGTAAACAACATGTTTTCAAGTTTTTTTACTCAAACTATCGGAAATCAGTTGCTTCAAAGTATGTACCGTAATTTGTTCATAACATTTAATGGTTCATCTTTTGAGTACTGACGAGTTAAACACAGTTAAATTAACCGTAATGCAGTAGGTAGACATTTTCATGCATGGTTAGTACGACTCACTTTAACACGGTATCTTATGGAAGCCCCCACACATCCCCTCACTCCCTGAAAAAAACGATTGAATCTCTTTAATAATGATTTCAAAAATACTGCTACACCAAAACTGCCAATTAAACGATTAAAAAAAGGGAAAAAAGCAGCGTTGATGAAGATGCGATGTTTGAGTCTGCTGTCAGTTAAAGTGATAATAATGATGATGTCAATAATGATGATGATAATATGAATGTCACCATTCGGAATCAGACAAATGAAAAAATTTCCAATAACTAACATTTACAAATAATTAATAAAAACCAGAAAGATTTATTAGATTTGATGTATGGGCTTCGAAAAGACGATGGAAAGTACAAGTTTGGAAATTCACCAATAAATTTAGATAATAATGAAGTTAGGATGATAATAGATTTCCTATGAGTGTTGGATTGATCGAGCTACTTGTAAAAAAAAACCTGATACAACTCACATCACTAAAGATGATTTAAGTTAAAATTATGTACTTCTGGAAACTTCAAGTGCGCATTGAAAGGGTTTAAGCAAGAATGGACCTATTCGAACACATAATAGTAATAAATTCAACAAAATCGTAGCTTCGACATTTTATCTTATCGCCAATACAAAAGGAGGATCATTGTTACCTTACTATAAAAGTGCTAGGCCCATGCATCAAGTTGAATATGTACACTGGGACGATCCAAATGAGCTAGGGGATCGTCTCCTCTTACTTATAGCTGAAATATCGGCAGGAAATCAAAGCCATGATAATGAGATTTTTAAGTATATTGTACATTTATAGCAACGTATATAGAAGTATATATTTAATTTAATTCAATAAGGTTTTTATTGGCACCGTAATATATACATAAATCCATATACATCAGTCATTGGTTACAAAGTAAGACTCGTTATCTATAAAGAGAGCTTTTTAGAGAGTTATGATTATACCTCAGTCTAGTTATACTTGTTATTATTTTTCTAGGCAATTTTAGTTTTTTGAACCAAGGGTTTGTATTATCTGAGTAATAATTATTGAAATAAAACAAATCTTTGTTTTCTTCATGAAACAAGTCTTTGATTTCTTGTGAATTTTTCTTCTTACATACTATTTTATAATTTAAAACGAGGTCTGAGTAGGAAATTTTTACTCCTGCTAAAGAACCTGAAACAGCAACATTTTTCACTAACACATCTGCTTGTTCATTACCTTGAATTCCAACGTGTGTTGGAATCTAATAGATTTAAACTTTAATATGCATGTTTCTTAGAATAAACGATTTGTGTCTGATTTGAACCATCGGAGGAGATTCGCAGTTTATACCCTGTATCTTAGATAGCGATTTTGCAATACTTTGGGAATCTATGAAGATCCTATACTCTTAACGCTTCAGATATTCATCTTCTGCCTCATTTAAAATTTATTTTAAATCCGCCACCACAGCATGACATTCCGCCAAAAAAACAGACGTTATGTCAGGTAGGTTTTTCCCTATCCTAAAATATTCTGATTCTGACCAAACTACAAATCAACTCTTACCTGACCATTACTCTCAATTTTTGACTCATCAGTTAATATGTTGACTGCACTTTGTCCTTTAAATTTCCTTAAGTTCACAATTTGGGACTGAGGATTTTTGTAAAAGTGCTCCATAACTTAGATTTATCTCTGGTTTAAAGAGCAGTGTTGCATATGTTATGTTATATTTATGAAATCCATCTTGCTTAAATATTAGAGCTTCCCTGAACCATATAGCTTCATAACAATGTAGGGTCAAAGATTTCTTTGAATTAGCACTGTAGATTGGGTTTTCCGAGGTCTCATAGTGTTGTTTAATTGTCTACAGTACTGAGTTTGAATGTGTTGATAACTTCTTAAAAATGTATTTATATGCCAAAAATTTGATTCTAAATTTAAGATACTCTACTTCTGATTCTGCTGTTAGAGAATTTATAGGTGTAGACCTCCTATAACCAAAAGCCACTCTGATACACTCATTCTGAATTTTCTGAAGTTCCATAAAATGATTGTCACTACACGGAGATATTAAAAACTCACCATATTCTAAGTTTGATCGGAATAAAGATTTGTATAGGATTATAAGCAAGCTAGGATCCACCCCCTACCTAACTCTTCTAAGACATCTAAGTATTGATACTGGAAAGTTAAACTCATTCTTAATGTCTTTAATGTGAGGAAGCCAAGTAAGTTTACTATCTAATGCCATTCCTAAGCGTTTGACTGTTTTTGCAGGGTCAATGATCAAACTGTTCACCTTAATTGACAGGTTGTTTGTTTTAATTTTGTTCTTACTGAATATTAATATCCTACATTTATCTGGTGCTAGGATAAGATTTATCTTATTGTACGGTAGTTTGCAAGGGTTTTTGATTGCTGTTTTCAAGAATATGAATTGCTTTCTACATTCAAATGCATTGGG